GCTATGGAAAGATCGGGTTCCAAAGGCCGGATCCCTTGTGAATCAAGTCACGAAAAGTTCAAGAATCGGCAACAGGCCATGGGCCTATTTCTTCAGCGCCGACACTTCTATTCTATTCTATTCTATCTCTCCGCGTGCAGGGCACAGTAACGAAGACAAAAGTAGAGCTTTGCTGCACTGTAGGGCCAAATCGTTGCAAAGTAGTCGATTTAAAGCGAACAAATTCGGAGCAAATCCATGCAATATTTCAAGACATCTAATAAAAGCCGGAGCACTAACATAATAACTATAAACTATTTTTTATTAAAACAAAGCACCGCGCGTCAAGCGAATGGGGGACCAAATGGTCAAAGGCAGTGATCAACAAGTCGGGTATATATTGGCGCGAGAGAACAGAATGAACAGAACAATATGAACAGTGCAATCACAACAGCATAATATGAATAAAACAACGGAAACTAAATAATATAAATAGCGCAATGAGAACTGGTCAATACGAACACCGACAACAACACTATTGAAAATAGAATTCAGAACATAAATTCAACTCGGAACAATACGAACAAAACAATTCAGTCGCTCTGCACGCCATTGAACACAAGCGCTGAATATGCTCGACTCATAACTGTATTGCACCACAGAGGCATGCAGGCATTCAAGAGGTATTGAATTATTAATGAAGCATGGAACCAATTATGAGGAATGAAGGCATTGATTACGCACACAGCCATTTATGTGGTATGCAATAATATATATGAGCCAGGAGGCAATTGATGGAACATGAAGGTATTCATACAGCAAGGAGCCGTTGACCGCTTTGATTGTACAAAACAAAACAAAAAGATCCGGTGGTAGATAGAGTCGAGAAACTTGATATTTTCACTCGCGCTAAGGTCTCTTCTTTCGTAAACGAACATTCATAATTTTTCAATCAAAGTGCACGTTAGGTCATGTTTGAATTTACCGATACCTACTAACCTTGCGATGAATAACCTGAACAGACAACGTGAAATATTTGCTTTCTCGAAATTTTTTTCTCATTTCACTATTAATTTGGATTCAAAATATCGAAACTGTGCCCGAAATTTTCGAACGAAAAGGGTTTTATTTTATATATTAAAGGACGGAACTGAAACGAGCGTAGTCATGCTACCAGCTATTTGCTTATCTGTCGCGACTTTCGCGCGACAGATAATAGATTAGCCGTCGTTTTTATAGTTTATAGTAAACAGTATATAGGAGATGCCGCTCGACAAATCGACAGTTTATTTGTTGAAAAAACTGCCTTCAAAATTACTGGCAGCATTACTTGATCATTCAAAAATTGATTCACGACAAGAATTACCGACTTCGTGTCGAAGTAAGATCATATTTTTGATCAAGTAAGATTGCGAAGTATTTTCACCGCGAAGATATAAGATCATATATTTTGTCTTTATATAAAACACGGACAGAAATGCTGACCTATTTCCGTAAATGCTGACGAGCCTATTCAATGTAGATATATATCATAAATTATCAAATTGATATTCCATGTAAAATTATCTTACAACTGCATGGATTCAAATTTTATACAAAACGAAGTAACTTTATATGGTCGGGAAGCTCGAGATTTGCAATTCTAGCAGCTGCTTAACTTGAGGCGCAAGTTAAACTCTCACCCCTTAGACTGTTAACACTTTAACCCAATAACTACCTTGCCTCTCTATGCAAAGTAGAAAACGCTTTTAACTATGGAAGACAATACTCAAGGAAATGAGTGAGATTTTGTCCATACAACGATGCACTTTTTGACCTTATGTCGCTCACTTTAGTCCTGCAAAATGGCGTATTTCTATTACGTTCAGATAATATGTCACTATTTCTACAATATGATTCATTAATTTCTCTGAGAGACAGAGTTCATTAAGTCGATACCACCTGCAGTAAACAAATATTTAAGCGCCGGCAATACTATCGTGTAGCTGCGTCAGCTTTCATACAATAGCATCGTACGTGGTGGTAATCAATAGCCTTGAATATCTAGAGACTGAATCTCCATGAATCTTCAGAGACTGGGGAAAATATCTCAGACTGAAATTCCACGAATCTCCAAAGATCGGAAAATTTATCTCGGAGAATGAATCTCTGCGAGTTTCCAGAGATTGAAAAATTATTTCAGAGAATGAATCTCTGTGAATTTCCGGAAATTGGAAAAATTATCTCGGAGAATGAATCTTTGTGGATTTCCGGAGATTGGAAAAATTATCTCGGAGAATGAATCTCTGTGAATTTCCGGAGATTGGAAAATTATCTCGAGAAATGAATCTCTATTAATCTCCGGAAACTGGAGGCAATTTCTCTGAGACTGAAACTGTGAATCTCCAAAGATAATAAAATTTCGAAGACTAAATCTCTGAGAATCTCCGGAGACTGGATAGAATATCTTGTAGATAAAACCTTCACGAATGTTTTATTTCTAAGACTTGCCCATTTCAAACTCTGCCCACTCTGTCTGTCCAACACGCACGACACCATTCATCTTTTCTCCTGCCCTGAAATGCCCACATCCCTGTCGGTGGGTGACCTTTGGTCGGACCCCGTAAACGCTGTAGGGCTGCTGGCCCGCTGGGGCGACCGACTTGGCTGGCCCCAGAACTGGGTCTAGGCGAGGCGGGGAGGGCCAACAACAACAACAACCACTTAGGGATTTTTTGGTAAACAATTATTGATAAGTCTATTCATTAGCTTTGTAACGTTTGTATGGAGCAAGGTAATGAGCTGAATATTGACTATTTAACTGGTTTCAATAAACAAAAACACTTCAGGAATGCAGATCTTCTAAACATTGAAGAGTCACATAGGTAGCTAATAGCACAGTGCACAGCACTATCAATAGATCTACTAGTTTTATGTCCTATAAATCTACCAGACTCTACCCTCTCACACCGACTAGTAGTGACTGTAGCTGATAGCACAGTGCACAGCACTATCAATAGATCTACTAGTTTTATGTCCTATAAATCTACCAGACTCTACCCTCTATAGTCTATACACACCAACTAGTAGTGACTGAGTGACTAACTGCACTGTTCCCATTTGATTCAGACCAATAAACCAATACTAAACATAACTGAATGATAACCAAACAAACCTCATATGACTTGAAACGAGACTTGAGTTATGAGAAAATCTAACACTGAAATAAACATGTGCACAATTCAAATATTTTATATCCATTCACTGCATTTAATTATTTTATATATAGTCTTATAATTCTAATTGTTTTATTTCTCGTTTTAAATTCACATACTTAAAGATTGAAATTAAATATTATCATTAGATTACTCGTATTAGGGTGGAAAATCTTTTTAATTGCCTGAAAGGTCAATACAATCTCAACCTCTCAATATGGTGGGGCATAACTGATTGAGCAGTTTTGAGGTAAAATAAAAGAGTAATGGAGGTACATCAAGAAGAAAGTTCATTTTCCTAGAGGTTAGCATAACATACAATTTAGAATACTTATGTTTTGAAAAGAATATCTGGAAGATGGGGCCGTTAGCTGCAACACACTGTTGGAGTCGTTCTCAGAGGATGGAGTAACCATAACAGTGAATTCCGAACGCTATGCTGCAATGTTGCAAAATTTCTTGCAGCCCATGATGAAAAACATCGTTGAAAATGAAGCATTGTGAGACATGTGGTTCCAGCAGGATGGGGCTACAGCTCACACAGCACGAATGTCACTCAATGTTTTGAAACGCATGTTCTCAGACTCTGAGGGGTGATTTACAGTGGCCTGCAAGGTCACCTGATTTGAACATTTGCGGTTTCTTTCCATGGGGACATCTAAAAGAAAGGGGTTCAGAAGTAGCCTTCACACCCTACCACAGCTAAGGGAACGGGTTATTGCAGCAGAGGTTATGGCCATACCGCGCCATATGTGTGAACGTGCTGTAGAAAACTTCCAAGAACGACACCAACAGTGTGATGCAGCTAACAAACCCCATCTTCCTGATATTTTTTTCAAATAAGTATTTTAAATGGTATGTTATGGTAATGTTGAGGAAAATAAACTTTCTTCTTTATGTACCTCCAATACTCTTTTATTTTGCCTCAAAACTGTTCAATTAGTTCTGCCCCATCCTGTATCAGCTAGCTAACACATTTAAATTGTATATTGTAATCAATATATAACAAATAGTCAAACAGTTAAAGACTA